CAGCTGTCCTGGAATTTACCATGTAGACCAGGCTGCCCTAGAACACACAGATCTCTACCTACCTCTGCCTCTGAGTGCTAAGATTAAAGGTGAGAACCATAAAGTTTAGCCCTATGATAACACTTTCTTTTTTTTCCCGCCATCCCTGCCTCCCTGGACCTTCTAGCTTGTGCCCTCTCTTCTTTGCTCCAACCCCTTCAGGGTCATTCTTCATAGCCTGGCTCCCCTACCCCCACTGCTGAGAGGCTGAGGCTTCCGGGACTCCTTAGATTGTATTGTAGGGAAAATGAACGCGTTTAAAAAATCTTCTATTTACTTCACTTTTATGGGAACTTTTTAAAAAATATTTATTTATTTATTATGTATACAATATTCGGTCTGTGTGTATGCCTACAGGCCAGAAGAGGGCACCAGACCCTATTACAGATGGTTGTGAGCCACCATGTGGTTGCTGGGAATTGAACTCAGGACCTTTGGAAGAGCAGGCAGTGCTCTTAACCTCTGAGCCATCTCTCCAGCCCCATTTATTTCACTTTTAAAAAGGCACTTTTTATCATTATGAATTTTATGTGTTAATTATAGAAAAATTGGAAGTCAGAAATGTAATAAAATGCAAGAAAATGTCTGAGTGATTTATCCTGAGATTGTCACTTAATATCTTGTCCTTTTGGGGTATGAATGTTTTACATTTCTTGATCCTCTATGTTCTTTATAATACAATTTATAATACAATATATGGTTATTGGTGACTTTTGCAGATATTTTATATTGCTGGTAATATATTTTATTGTAATTTTCTTAACCTTCTTCTAATTGTTGGAAATTTAGGTTATTTCTAGATTTTCAGTATTACCCATAATGTTATGATCATCTTTGTGAGTAAAATGTTATTACCATAGGACGGTCTCTCGCTGCCGAGTCATCCAAAGCCACTCCGCTTTGTCCTCTGTTGCTGCTATAGCACACTAGCGTTAGAAAACAAAGTCAACAAGCCTATACATAAACCACAGCACTGAGAGAGCGAGCCTGTGGTCCAGATTAATAGGTGAACGTTGTATCCTG